TGTGTCAGAAGAGAAAGGATTTCACTTGATAAAACGAGCGGACCGCAAAAGGAGGCTGGCCGCGGCTTTATTGCCCGGGCACCGCTCTCACGGTCGGTAAAAACCGCCCGCTCTCGTTCGACAATACGATGAATAATTGATTTCCAGTTTCACTCTTTCGTGGATTACGCAACGATAAGGGAGCATAACTTAATTACTTATGGATAATCGACGTGTAGCACGGTCCATGGCATTTTAAAACCGTCACGGCATAAAATGGCCGTGAACAACTTTCACTTAACGACGTAATTTTTATTTGAACAACCCGCTTTCTTTCATTTTAATCAATTCGACACATAGTTTAATTACTCTCCAAAAAGAAATATGTCGTTTAGGTTAGAAGTTTCATTTTTCACTTCGCGTCCTACACCTATGCATGTTCTAAATATATGCTAGTCAAATTTATAATTCTTTAAATAATATAAAACATATAAAAAGAGAAAAATGTCACAAGGGAAAAATTTGTAGTTCTTCCGTGTTGCATTACTTCACATTGCGTATTGCGTTGCATACCGTTTGGAAGAACGAATTACATCGCAACAGTAACTTTTCAGTCACGAGTACTTGACACAATAACGTGATGGAAATCGCCACACCGACAGTAAAACATGTGCTTTACGCCTTTTAACCGGCCCACGGCCTCACCGCTTTTTTCCCTCCTTTTTAATACTCGTTGCTTTTTAAGAAAAACGCGGGAAAACGTACCGCGGACAACACAATGTCTACTTTATTGTTGCGGAAATCCAGTGACCATGAAGAACCAAGAAAACAATATCGATGTTCAATTTAACACTGCATTAAAATTAGCGACGTATGACATTGGGGATATTTCGTTACGTATAACCTAGGAACTTTCTAATCTTATGCATTTTATTGCACGACTTCGAAACGCAGTGGCCTTTTACGCGGATTGCATCGGAATGAAATTCCTCGTGGGTGGTACGAATCGATGCACGCTTCGAATATCTGTCGTGCACGATAGAAAGAAAGAAGAATAGAAAAAAAAAAAGAAATACGCGTTTAATAACCGTGACGAGCAATATAACCGTATTCGACTTTTCCGCACGAAAGCAAGCTCGTCGAAACCACTTGCGAGCGGAAATATATTTTCGTCCTAGTCATTTCTTGGACGATCGTTTCGTATCCGCTTATGCAACACGCGCGTGGAAACTTGAAACTTTGCAGATAGATCATTCTCTCTAATTTCTAACCTATATCTGTCAAGTAATCGATCCTCAAATAATTAACGCCGCATACTGTGCTCTAAGTAAAATACAGCAAAACTCTGATATGTTTGTCTCGAACACGATTTACAAACAGAACGTTTAACCTATTAGAAACCTCTTGTAAGCCGATACCTACTTACAAGTTTAGGGTTATGTCCGTAAACCCTGGGACCACTCACAAAACTCGTGTTTGCTTGAAAAAACAACTGGAAGACTTTTTAACCTGTCCACGAAACACACTAATGGAATTACAGGACAACACACACGTAGCCAGGAGTAACGTTATCCCCGAGATACCTGGCTGGCTTTATCGCCGCGATGCGTGACGAACGTTCGTTTACGTACGTAAGGAGCTTCGCCAGTCCTCTTCCTCCCTACGTTCCCTGTTGCGTTGTCCACCAAACCGGGAACTGTGGTGCACGAACCGGGTAAAAATATCGGCGCGTATATCGTGCAGACTTTTGCGATTCCCGTAGAATTCCAAGTGGCTCTCGTTAAAGTCTCGCGATGCTCGGTGAAACTCCTTTTTAACAGGCTACTACAACGTTGCGTTTACTCAGTGCAGCCGGTGATCTCGCGGTTCTTTTCGTGACTCGACGATTCAGTCGTTAAATTGTTAATTGCGGAACGTAACCGCGATCAAACTTTCCAATTTGTCGAAGGGACTTTTTTTCGCGCTGTTCCCCTCGCCACTCGTGTCTATGAACTTTTTTCTATGCATTATCGGTTTAACGGTACCGGATTCGCGAATTTCTCAAATGGGGACATTTCAATAGGATTGTCTACAGTAAATGATCGTGAGAGATTTATCTAATAAGTGTACAGATTTTGTTTAGTTGAGAATGTGGTTTGAAATTCTTGATAATTCGAAATTTTTGTTTTGATCAATTGTTTATGAAACTCTGGAGTGATTTTCGGGCTACTTATTTCGAAAAAGAAACAACGAATTCTTTGTGTAATAAATTGGTCAGAATCCGCACGAAGAAGTTAACAACTCGTACAGGAGCCAACTCGAGCGTGCACCCATGCACGCTTCGTTTCGCTGAAATAATAACGAAGATCTTCGAGCCCCACCACGCCATCACGGCGTAACCAGGAATTCCATGCCCCCTTTTTCCTCGTATATTTACCAAAAATTATGAAAATCGCGCGTTCGCAGTGTGCAGATGTTTTATTCTGTCGCCGCTTTCACAGGTTGCTTTAATTAATTACATACGGTACCCCCGACATCTTTACTCATATAGTTAGACGGGAGTTGTATATTAAATGAATAGATGCAGTTGTGAAGATAGTATGAAATACATAATTTCTTTCGAAAAGAGTTGCCTAAAAGTGGGGTGCACTACATATCGTTCATATTTAATCAGACATAGAATTGGAGCTGAAACGTAACCTGAAATATCTTCTAGATTACATGGAAATGATATAAAAGCAACGTCAGTCTACAAAATAATAGTAATGGAAAGTTTAAGCAGCGTTCCGTGTCATGAGTAGACTAATTCATCCCTAACTCATCTGTGCATCATATGTATTAATTTACAAACATTGTTACACCAAATTAGATATTTAATATTATAATTTTTGAAAAGCTATCCATAATCAAGAATTTAAAAAATTATTACATTGTTTATGATTAGAATAAATTTAAATATTGAATGTGTACAAAATTTCAATCATTGGGAGTCGATAAGGGAGAATCATAGTTGAACACACGTACTTATCGACAGAAGGAAACATATCATTATCAGGTAATACCACAGACGAGATGTAGACACAGACAAGTTTCTGGCCTGGCACCTAATGTATTTTTGTGTTCAACTTTCTGAAATACCGATCATGTAAAAAATCAGAGTTTTTGTTATGCCTTCTACGATATAAAGTGGTGAGTTTAGGAATTACATCCAATCCGACCATCAAAGATGGTAAAGTCGACAGACGTAAAAGACCCTCTTTTGTTATTTTGTTATTATGACCCTCTATAAAGATAGATAAACATACATTGGATTGCGTGGGTAGAACTGAGCCGTTTAATACGAAAGTGGTGTAAGTCAAAAAAGTCGAATTCTGGATAATGAGGAATAAAGTAAAAGTTCTGTAGAATTGAAAAATATGAAAGAATGTTACATCTCTTTTATAGAACCACTATATCATACATATGTATGCATGTAAATATGTATAATCATTTTGTTCAATACACTATTACACCATTCCTGCATATAGCGTCCATGCCATTCGAATGTGTGGTTCTTACTTATTTTGCCATCACCAAGAAACTAATGAAAATATACTTACACCACTTCTGCACAAAACAGAATGAAGGTTGAGCTTTCGAGATGTTGTGTTAAATCAAATAGGCAAAAAATTGATTTACACCACTTTTGCATTAAACGGCTTAACTATTGGCGACCTTTCACAGCAGTAGAACACACGCATGCGATGAATTATCCACTAGTGAAAAATTACGTTCTCATATTTTTTTATTACAGTATAATGAAAATATTATCAAATTATGAGATTTTGTTGATGAAAGTAAGTCTAAATGCCACTGTAAAATTTATTGTTTATGATATAGTCCTTAAAACATTAGTAATTTCGTGAAGATCTGTTTCTGAATTATTATACATATGTATTATGCATGCAAACGTACAGAATTCTATACTTCGTGTGCAATTATGAGATATCCTGTCATATACTTTCTTTGTAATTTCATATTTACATTTAGTTCTAATTCCAACCACTGTTGGTGTTGTAATTTTATTTTGTACTGAATCGGTAACGTTGGTAGCCACATGGAAATGGTAGTACGTACTATTCTGTACGTCGTCTGTGATTACAACATTAGTAGTGGTTGGAATTGGAATTAAATGCAACTATGAAATTACAAATAAAAAAGTAACTTAATTGTTTATTAGTAGATGATTCAGCACATGCTTGTGTTCTACTGTTGCCAAAAGATCATGAACAGTTCTACCCAAGCAATCCAATATATGTATGTATTTTTATATGCAAATTTAATAAAAGAAGTTTTTTTACATTTGTCGTCTTTACCATCTTTGATGATTGGATTGTATGTAATTTCTAAATTCACCGTTTTATATCGTAGAGAGCATAACAAAAACTCTGATTCTTTACACCATCGGTATTTCAGAACGTTGGACACTAAATAGGTATAAGGTCTATCTTGTACCTCGTCTGTGGTTATATCTGTGTAGAAGTTTTTATTCCTTCAGATGGTATGCAATTTCGACGTTACCGACTGCATCAAAACTTTATATTCTTTTTTTCTACTGAGTTGTGTTATTTAATATGGCGGGAAACGCATATTTAAATTTCCTTCTTTGGATTCAAAAAATGAAACAAATTGTATTCTTAGAAAAACTTTTTTTTAATTCTGACGCATGTACGATATCATATTTTAATATGATCGTTTTCATAAATCAGTATGTTTCGCGTGTCAAAATATAAAATTTAACGTGCTATCTTAACTTACATTTTAAAGAATCATAGGAACGAGCATTTGTGCTTTTCGTAGATTAATATCAAGGTACGATTCTGTTCGAACGAATCGTGAAGAGTATCCAGCACATTTGAACGTAAATGGGACATATTTAAACATTTAAACATTCATATATACACAGATATCAAGCCATTGAAATATGACTCTAATAGTCTTTGCAGTACATTCGTACCACATTAAAAATATTCGCGAACAAAGATCGTATTATTCATTCCGTTGCAGTTAAACAGTACAAACGTTTTCACATAAATATTCATATAACATAATTAAAAATATTCCCTATTCTCTTTACATTAATTACACACATCCTTCGCTTGTCTAAATTCCATTCATTTATAACATCCAAACGTTCAACTATATCTTGAGGCAACGCAATGCCCTGCCAGGTACTTGTGAAATAAATTGGAAGGAATTATCTCTGAGGTTATTTGCAACATTGTTGCTGACCAGATCATCATCTTCATCCCTGACATCGATCTCATTATCTTCGAGGTCGATGTCAAAGTCTCGGTCACCCATTAATGTAGTCAGACACATGTTATTTTCCTTTATCCGCGAACGCACTAGTATTTCCAGCGTGAACAAATGTTCATCGTGAGCTTCTGGTAGATAACGATGAATAAACTCTGCTAATCTGCAAGTAGCATATAAAAAGTAAAAAAAAAAAAACTAAATAAAACAATTAAGTTTAACCACTGTATTTCATGAAATAAACCTTAAAAGATATTCCACATTGTGTCCACTGGGCCCAGAACACTCCGAAATTTGTTTGGCAATATTATACAATGGCGCATCGCCGAGCCAGTGTTCGTTTTTATTGGTGGCGATGTAAATAATGACTGGAATACTTCTGTATCCTTCCCGACTATAAAATGTGGTAATCGTCGTTATATACCCCCCCAAAGTGCACTCGCGATTTTGCAAATAAGGCAACGCCGCGTTGTCCTGAACTTGAAACGCTCGACCGTATACAACACCCTGTTGACAAAGAAACAACACATTATCATTTTATCGCGTAATGAAACATCTAATTATGACGAACGTGCAAGTTATTTCGTACTTTAAATTCTCTGATTAAACAATGAATAATGAGTAATTTGAGGTTAGCCATAGGCAACAATTATTTTTCCGTGAAATTACATACCTCTTTTTCTTCGACCAATGTAGCCACACGTCCAGGCTAAAACAAAAAGAACGAGAAGTCACTAAACCAACGGTCAATAATCCGTTTGAACGGGAACTAAGAAAACAATGAATAGGAGGTTTCTTACAAGGGAATGACGTAAATACGTAACACGAATACACGGAGGACAAAATCGTGCGTTCGCAAGATATCGGTTACTGCGAGCTGTAACTGGTTTCACATCAATCGGCAAGCAAACCGTAATGTGAGATCGAGAGAAATTCTCGTTGAATAAAACCCGTCTATATACGATAGTGTATAGTAAATAGCCAGACCGACAATAATGTCGGAAATGCATGAGAGTAGAAAATGCATTGAAAGAAAATAAAAAAGAATGAAACCGTTAATATTCAATCGTCTAACAGCACGTGGAGAGTAAATTCGATCTCTTAAATTGAATTGTTTCAATTAGAGAAATTGGAACGGCAAACTCATCAGGTGAAACTGTACCCGATTTTCATCACTCTTAATAGAAGCATCCGTAAGTACTTACTTCTTGGGGCGTTCACGTGTATCGTTCCTGCAAATATTATTCTCTACCGGATATTCAACAAAAAGTACCCTTAATCATACTTAATTATTAAAAGAAGATTTTTTTTTTCTAAAGCAGCGATTTAATGCGAAATGTGATGTCGTCAATTACCACGTGATATAAACATAACATGCGTCATATAATTTTTGATTCGTTGTCAATACAATACTTTGTCGCGCAAAAACGAATCTTTTTAACTCCGTGTGGAAAGCTGCCAATCCTTTGTGAACGAAGACACGTAGCGAATTTATGAACAAGAAAATTAAGGGTATAAATAGAATATCTAACGTCGCATGAAAAACTGTAAGCTCAGCCAGTCGTCGAACTTTATTTAACAAAAAGTAATTGGACGAGATATGTAGATGGAGTTGTATATCGATCTCTTCTTACATATGATCTAATACGTAACAAAATGTTTTGAAACCACGCAATACAAGACACGTCTCGATGGCCAATGTAAAATAACAATTATTTCGATCAATCGTTGATACTTTTATTTTATATCTGAACGTCAATATTTGAAATTCTTTTCATTATGAAATGTTTGCACTTGTAATTTCACCATATGTGACTACTAACAATTTCACAAGGTTTTACTAATGAACAGAAAAACATCGCTTCTATGTCAACCAGACTTTTGATCCAATTTTTACATGTTTGTATTTGTTGTAAACGAAATTCGACACGGTGCTAAATATTTGCAAAAAATGTCTAATAATTACCAAATGCGCTTTTTCTAATGATAAAAAAGATGAAAATAAACTGTGAAAACAAAAGTCTGACATCAATCAGAGACATCTCGCTGAAATTTACCTTTTCAGTTGTACCACGATGCGTCGTGTTCCCTTGCCAAAATTTTCGGCTGAAACCTCTGATGTATCCCACGGTGCTTCTTTTGTAGTGAAAACCTGGATACCAGCACAATGATCCGTATCCGAATACCCAGAGTGAATTCTCATCGTGATTTCTATTGTCCATTTTATTGTAGCCAAAAAACGCGGAAAAATCGTAGCCCAACGTTCACCCTTCGAATTTGTCGACTAATTCTACTTTATCAATCTTTTATCACCAAACTAAGCATATCTTGTGGTATTTCCGTATTGTACTTTGTTGTATCTTCGATAAATATTTTAATGCTATTTCAAAACAATCTTAACAAAGTATGTACACATTCGTCTAAATACTTTCACTTTCTATGTCAATCCATCACGAAATGTTTACCAACTGTCCTTAAAGTCCATTTGACATTCAATTTTGTCTTGTGTACTTTTACTTCAATTAATCTTCAACGCAAAGAATTTCAAAGCCTTCATATCTTTATATGTATCGGAGAATTATCGTGTACCAGGAATGAATAGATAAAAGAAAAAGTTATTCGTCCTTTTTCCGTTCCGTTATCAGGGAGAAGTCGTTGTAACGTGAAATAGTCATCGATTTAACCAGCGCGCGCTGCACGTGGCTCTACTGTGCTTTTACCCCGACCGACCAATGTACTTTAAAGCTTGACTATCAAGAAACTCTCACTCCCACCGCAATATTCTAATTTTTCTTCCTCCCACTTTCGCTTTGGCGATTTAACGGGTTTATTTTCCTATTCAGTCGTCGGACGAATAATTTGCCTGATCACGTGTCTGTTCTCTCTTCTTTTACTTGGCGATTCTTCAATGTCCAACGTGTCATTTTCCAGTTAACTATTTTATTCTATCTAAGCGAATCTCGGTCTTTCGTGCTAATTACCTGCATCGTCAATCTTCCGGATGTTCATCGAAATCCTGTTCAATTGGTGCTCTCCAAGAAGGGTTGTCGATAAGTCAAAGGTCCGATGATTGATTTTTGTGCTTCTCGAATGTATAAGAATTTCTACGAATTGAACTAGTTGATGTAATTTTTTTGACTGTTTCATTGGAGATTTTGCGATTCAATATCACGATAGACATTGGCGAATTTGGAAAATATGACTACAACATGTACACTGTGCGGATTCTTGACCGAGACTGCTCGTCGCTGGGCGTATACCTCTCCTTGTAAAAAGAGATGGAAGCAGTTGAATGAAGAGGGGAATAAGAAAACGCCGTTAGAGAAACGGAGATAGACGATCGCACGAAGAGCGAGTGGGAGAACGGATGAGGCAGATGATGAAACAAGAGGTGCGATTGACGTATGACCCAAACTGCATGTCCACATTATATAGATTTTGAAGTTCATATACAGTAGTTATCTATTGCATAAATTATAAGTAACGAACATGATTAGACCGCAATTATGTAACAATCGTATTTTAAATATTTCCTTGCAAAATTAATAGGATATGGTTGAAGTGAGATAAGTGTACTATACCGTTATTGAAACAGTGATTTACATATTAATCTATTCTAAACTGATTTAATTTTACATAAAAATTGTAATATTGTTAATAAAAATAAAGTACAAACAGTATCAATATTTGTTTTTTTCTTAAACCTGATAAATAATTATGAATTATAAATCTGTAATTTCAGATGTAAATTAGGAATTAAATTTTTGTAATTTGAACAGTATTTACTTTTTACAGAAAGTTAATTTATCTTCAGATGGTAATTGAATTTGTTGTTTTTTTTTTTAAGCTGTTGCTAGTGCTATAAGACCACAGCATGGATATTATTGCCAACAGTTTCCGGCAAAAATTCCCTAAAAATTTTGTACATGCGATATCAAAATCAGCTGGTGCTCACAAAATCAGAGTGTTGTTGACGGGTGTTTGAATTTTCACTTTTTTAAACGATAGATTTAGATTTTTGATTTTATTGTTTAGACAAAGGCGAAGATTTTAACGAGACGTATAATTTTTATATAGGTGAGTATCACTATCGTTCATATTTTATTTACTCGGGGTTTTTAGTTAAATATATCTGTCATTCTTTTGAAACGTGACCTGTTGCACGCTTTATTAAGTTCTTGAGATAAATGATGCATAAGGCTACACCACCGTCATCTCCAGACATGAATAGTCAAATAGAAGATGAAGATATGTTATACACAGGGGATGTAGAAGAAATAATTGAAGCATATGATAGTGAAAACATTGAAGATGAGGATGCAATGGAGGAGGATCCTCCAGAACAAGGAGATGCAGTTTGTATGTTTAGTGGTCATAAACGAGGTGAAGAGAATTCTAAATATTCTAATTAAATTAATTCTCATAGAGGATTTTAATTTTACATACAAATTTTAGGGTCTGTCTTTTGTGGTTCCTTGACCAAAAATGGAAAGCTAGCTGCTACAGGTGGAGAAGAAGATAAAGCTTATGTTTGGGATACATCTTCTGGACAAATTATTCTTGATTGCACAGGTCATAAAGATAGTATTATTTTCTCAGAATTCAATCATGATGAGTCATATGTGGCTACTGGAGATATGAGTGGTATGATACAAATTTGGAGATTGGCAGATAAAATCAGGATTTGGGATTACAACATGGGTGATGCAACTGTTAGTTTATTGCCCAATATAAATATTTCAACTAGAATATGAATATTTCAGTAAACTAAAACATTATTTGCATTATTGCAGTGGATGAAATGGCACATGGCTGCAAATATTTTGTTGGCAGGATCTGTTGATGGAGAAATATATATGTGGAAAATTCCTGATGGAGACTGTAAGGTCCTTCAGGGATATGGTTGTCGGGCAGAGATTGGTGCAATATTTCCAGATGGTATTGATTCTTTGTATTGCTTTGTATTAAGAAATGTAACTTAAATGAATGTAATATTTTAGGTAAACGTATAGTAGTTGGTTATGAAGATGGAGTGATTCGAGTGATAGATTTAAAAACGAGTTCTGTGTTGTCATCCATTTCATCTGCTTCTGGTCATTCTTCCACCATAACTACTATTGACTGCCATTCAGATAACAATTTAATACTCTCTGCAGCTGTAGATGGAAAGACTATAATCAGTACATCAAATACAGGCAAGGTAATAAAATTAAGAGCTCCTGCATCCAGTAAATCAAAGTAATAAGATATAAAAATCTTAGATAATTTCCATTCTGCAAAGCCTTAATAATGGTGAACATAATAACGTGAATAATGATCAAGATGCCGAAAGTAGTGAAGGAAACGGTGACAGTAATTGGGTAGAAACAGCAGCTTTCTGTAATGATCCTGGATTTCAAGTTGCTGCAACTGGTACAGTTAATGGAGAAATATTTATCTGGGATATTTCAAAACAGGTATGACTATTTTCTTTTGCTTAAATACAACTTTAGCATTTCAGACTAGTAATGTTTTTCATTATTTAGATACTCAGACAAAAAATAGCACAGGAAAGCGGTATATCCAAGCTGCTGTGGAAAGCAAACACGAGTGTCTTATTGTCGGCAGGATTAGACGGTGTTCTGAGGTGTTATGATGGAAAAAATGGTCAGTGCTTACATTCATTCACAGGACACGCGGCAGATATCCTGGATCTATATATATCTGAGTAAGTTAAAGTAACTTCAAGAATTTCTTTTATGATAATCCTTTAATAGAAATCTATATAACAACAGTACTATTTCAGAAATGGAGAAAAAGCACTGACAACATCTGATGATTCTACAGCTAGAATCTTTGACATTTCATCTCTATCTTAACCAAATTTATTGTATAGAGAAAAATTATAAAATCTTTGTTATTGTCTAAAAATATATGTACATTGTACGAATGTTGTTTATATATATTGTACTTTGTTTTTTTTTTTAATTAAAAATAAAGTTTATTTATTTTTATCTGATAGTTTATAGCACTTTGTCCTTACACCACTCTGTGTTAAGAGCATATTTTTTATCATTCCAAAAAATATGAGTTGGACCATTTTCTTCTCCCTTTTCAAAATTAAATAATGTACTCAGTTCAATTGCAATCTTTGATCTCACTAGACCAATTCCTCCTGTTCTTTCTGGTGCAGGGTGATATACTCTTCCTGATTGGATATTCATGTATAATTTCACTGGTTCAAATGGCACCTACAATGAATTGATCATTGAATATTAAGGATCAATTAATGATTTATATATTATTGAAATTATACCATCAATAATTCCTCTGCATGTGCATAACCAAACCAGTCTTCATTTTTGCCTGTTTCACTATTTTTTTTCTGAATAACTTTTGTGAAAACAATTGGCAGATCATCACATCTGACAAAATTTCTCTCTGGGCCACAAAAAGAAACATAAGGGAAATCCTCACTGTATCTGCCTGTGTTATTTTTCTTCAAGCGCTTGAAAAAGAATGCCAAAAACTTTTTATCTAAAATAATATCGTTTCTATAATATATTTTGAAATATTGGAATGTATAATGAATTATTTCACTGTTTGTGCACACCTTTGAAGCATGATGTGAAGTTTTTCATGCGTGCATCATCCAGGAATAACTATAACAAATAAGGTGAAAAGAATATAATATAATAATTTTCCAAGCTTTCGCACTAATGTTGCAAATTGAATTAAAGAACAAAATATACCATGCCTTGATGATCGATGTAATAAAAATACTCTCGAACCCGAGGTTCTGGCGACTGCCCTTGTACATATTTCACGCAGTGTCTCTTAAATATCTCCATGTAAAGCGACTTCTTAATTTTAGTTGCAAGCACACGTGAGCGAAGAAATGGAAACATTTTATTCGTTTTCTATTATATGTCAACGTGAAATTAATTCGTAAATTATAACCTCACTTTTAGGTGTTTATAATTCCATGCGGATCATCATTATGTCATGTGTAACGTAATACATATATCTCATGTAATAATATGACATATACCAACAACATAATTAATTAGAAATTATACAACTTCTGATAGTTTTATCATGTTTTTTTTATTTTAACATCCCTCCCGTGTTTTACTTTGACACTTGCTGAGGTCGAAATTTAATTGACCGGGGAACTGGTGACATCTGGTGCGATCGATTGGAACGCGATCTCGATAGAAACAGAACTTCGATATTTCTCAACGTCACGTTAGTTCGCGCTACCCACGGACAGGCAGATTCAAGAAATGAGATACGACGAAGAGGTGGAACGAACAGTTTCTGAAAACGGACAGAAGTTTCAAGGAAAGGATCGCCTTCAGGACCAGACCGCGGCGAGATGCTGCCGCCCCGTTGAACAATCGTCCCTGCACTGAGCAATAACACATAGTAAAAATGTTACCTACGGATTCGAGGAAAAAAAAATTCTGCATCTGCAAGCTGAAATCTCAAATTGTTGTCATTGCCAAATAAGTCGTGCACAACGCAATCCTGTGGTCCCGGAATATGGCTTCGTCCACGAAGAGGTCATGGAAACTCCGTAAGTGATTGTCCCGCTTGTACCTTCAATTATTCTTTATTCAATACGTCGTTGCTCGGTGTGCGTCCAACGGATTCCTTTCTGCCGCTCTCTTCTCTGACCTGAGTAAACAATTCATGTTTACAAGTCGATGAATGAGATTCGACAGATTAATTACTCGTTGCATCTTCCAATTATGGTCATAACCTTTGTTTAATGGAAAATACATTGTCTTCTTGTGATGTCATTGGAACATTGATGACATCTTGTTCAGGTCAGTTGTAAAAGAATGTGCTTTCTTTCTGTGCAGAGGATTTTGTTGCCCACTCGTCCAATGTCAATTGTCTGGCATTAGGTCACAAGTCTGGACGTGTTTTGGTCACTGGCGGTGATGATAAGAAAGTGAATCTATGGGCAGTTGGAAAGCAGAATTGTATTATGGTATAGTTTCATCTTCTCCTTGATGTTGCTTGTTTAAACAATGACTTATTGCTGAAATTCTGATGAAATTATACTCTATGCTCATGATTATTGAAGATTTTCTTATATAAATGGTATTTGTTTTATTGGATTTCAGAGCTTGAGTGGTCATACCACTCCTATAGAATGTGTAAGATTTGGACAAACAGAAGATTTAGTATGCGCTGGCTCGCAAACAGGAGCATTGAAAATCTGGGATTTGGAACATGCTAAATTGGCCCGTACATTAACAGGACATAAAGCAGGTATACGATGTATGGACTTTCATCCTTATGGAGAGCTATTAGCATCAGGAAGTTTAGACACTGCTATCAAACTTTGGGATATTAGAAGGAAGGGTTGTATCTTCACTTATAAAGGACACAATAGGATGGTGAATAGTTTAAAATTTAGTCCTGATGGCCAGTGGATTGCTAGTGCAGGAGAGGAAGGAATGGTTAAGGTAAAGTTATATATACTATTTTGATATAGTACCAGTTATGTTTTCTAATTAATGTTTTCCTTTTAAATTAGTTATGGGATTTAAGAGCTGGTAGACAGTTAAGAGAATTTTCTGAACACAGAGGTCCAGCAACAACAGTAGAATTTCATCCCCATGAATTTTTATTAGCCAGTGGTAGTGCAGACAGGACAGTTCACTTTTGGGACTTGGAATCTTTTCAACTTGTTTCTTCTACAGACCAAAGTCATTCCTCTGTAATCAGGTGAATTTCTCGAATTTTGTAGAATATCTATTATCATTATAGCTCTTTTTTAATTTATTAATACTTCTTCTATTTTGGTTAGATGCCTCTATTTCAGTCAAGGTGGAGAATGTTTGTTTGCTGGCTGCCATGATGTGTTAAAAGTTTATGGTTGGGAACCAGGTAGAACATTAGATTCTGTCCCAACTGGTTGGGGAAAGGTACAGGATATAGCTATAGCTCAGAATCAATTGGTAAGATATTTATGAATGGTCTTAGTATTTGTACAATCAATCATGAGTTAAAATTTGTATCAATTAATTTTTCAGATCGGTGCAAGTTTTCACACCGCAAATATCATTTTGTACGTGTGTGATTTAAAGAAAATTGCTCCATTGGGAGGAGTGTCAACGTCTGGTTCTCCATTCAGTCATGGGAATTCGTTAAGGAAAAGTTTTTCTAGAGAAAGGCCACCTGGATTAAAGAAACACACGTAAGTTTAATAAACCATTTTTATATTTAATATTATATTGTTTTAATGAATAACATAATCATGATTTACTTATAGATTAGATGTACGAACTATAGAAGAGGCAGACAAATCCGGAACTGATCCAGAAGATGAAGCGACGTTCGCGGATATTCCCAACGTTACAGAATATCACGACGTTTTCCAACCAAATAGGTCACGTAAGTACATCATACAATCGTTACCATTACTCGTTCTTTGTTGCAAGGTCTGTGTACAATAACATACTCAAGTTCCATTTTATTCTAACTTTCGATTACTCACCTATAATCACGAGCCTGAAAATTACAAATGCATCTAAAAATTGGATGTCGTCCTGTATGGTTTGTGAATGAGCATGCTGTGCACGATATGTTTCAGTGTCTCGCACTCCACCTCCAGAACCTGAGGCTTTCGAGGAGCCTCAAGATGTAGGTGAGTTCTAAAAAAAAAAAAAAAAAAAAAGAAACAACAACAACAACAACAACAACTCCCCTTCTTTTTCCTCCTTGTACACCAAAATTGCATGGATGTTAATGTACAAACTTTTCCATAGCTTGCATAAAATATTCAACTCTTACATCGTTCTACGTTCATTCATTTTTCAGATCCTACACAACCGCAGATACTACAAAATCTTTCTACCTCAATGACAAATCTAAACACGGTGGAAACAGAGGAAGTTCCACCCATTTCGTCACCGTCATCTCCACCTCCACCTGCACCAACGTTATCGTTAACAAAACCAGTGCCAGTGCGTGTTCAACCTATCAAATCGTCGCCGCCTGTTCAAAGGAACACGGTCACGTCCACCAGTCAAATGAAGGCGAATTTCCAAACGAACAACGGTCTTGGTAGAACATCGAAGAACCTCGTGTCCATACCACCTTTAAGACAAAATATCACGCCTCTTCCTGGAAGAAAGACTGGTAACACCAGTGATGTAGGAACACTTCCACAGCCTTTGGGTCCTCAGAGGTCGAACTCTACGTTGACACCTCGCGTAGCACCAATGGCTGCCGTTCTTCCAGTGATGGACGATGGAAAACTAAAGAATAGAGCACCTAGCCCGGATTCTCCTAAGCATTACTTGAAAAGACAGAGTAGCTGTAGAGATGGAGAACAGGGTTACGAAAGCGATTACCCGGTACAGTAAGTATATGTACAGAGATTATATTGTAGATATTAGAATGTAATATAAGAGAATTGGAATTATTGGAAACGCGTTTAACGTTCTTGCAGAATTAATAGTATAAAGCACAGCCCCTCCGATCCTGCGTTAAACAGGCCAAATTCTGCGCAATCTAGGTCCATCTCGCTGAACAGAAACTTTGCTACCTCAACGTCGCTGTCCGCGCGCAACGCTTCCACTACCACGACCTTCACCACAAAGAAATCAAACAAAGTTCAAGTGCCCCCGAATCCTAAGGCGGACGTTCGCGCCACGCAATTGAGGCCGAACGTCGAGAATACAGAGAAGGAGGAGTTTGTCCCCATTAGCGCCGACAAACCCTACGGTTTGGACGTCGAAACTTTTCTACCGGTAAATTATTATTTACACACGATTAGTTAAAAAAAAAAATAAATATGTGAGTGTGATTAAGGATTTTTTTTTTTTTTTATAGAATCACTATGGAAGTTCGACTGGATTGGGTTACTCTCAAATGGGAGTACTCAACGAAATGTCAGAAGCTGAAGTACTGAACAGTATGATGCGTGGTCATGAGTCCATGATGGCAGTGCTCTCGAGCCGCCATCGTTCCTTACAAATTATTTACTCTCTCTGGCACAATAAAGATCTTAAGGTAATTTCGATTAATCGTTTTTTGTTATTAAATGGTAAGTAAAATGTGATTATAAAGATATGTTGAATTGTTAGGCTGCGGTGGAATCTGCTGTAGCGATGGACGATCTTTCAGTTATCGTGGATCTGTTGGGGATACTGACACTAAAACCGTAAGTAATACGATTTTACGAATCTTTAATTAATCAGAACTTGTTCCTTCCATTCCTCAATTTTTTATTTACAGAACAATGTGGAACTTGGATTTATGCAATTCTCTACTTGGCCCTATTGGGGACTTGTTACAAAGTAAATACGAAATGTAAGTAAAAACTTCCCTTTAACTTTCTATTTTGCTTTCCTTGAACTTTTCACCGTCTCAGAAAAAGATTACCTCTCCCATAACAATTATTTCATTAACACCAGGATTAAAATTTAGAACACGATACACTGCTCCTACCTATCTTCTAACGTTACCTCAATTTCCATCATGAAACACAACACGCTCGCTGAATTAAAGAAAATCGAGCCACCCCTAGCAGGGTGGGTTCTCGAATGGCTAGAGAGAAAGAGAGAGAGAGAGAGAGAAAGCAAACAGGGAATTTCAAGTGGGGTCGCGTACTTCACGTGCTTGGTATGGCTGTATGGGAATGGCTAATTCGTCGAACAGGGAAACACGAGGCGTGGAGGATGACGAGCGAAAAGAGGGTTCGCGAAATTAGCCGAGACAATGGAAGATAGTGGCAGATGCAAATTCGAGGCTGAAAATCCTTGCGTGTATTATTGTTCGATCTCGAAAATTCGAAGGGTCTCGCATATGTTGACGCTCTCCATGGACAGTTATGTGCAGTAAATCCTTTTCTTTCTCGCTTGACAGCCGATCATGAATATTAACGATGGCGTAGGAAGTTGGATACGGCTGTGACGCATTCTTGAAAAACATACGTTTGCCTTTTACATTATTGATTATCCGTGTGTCGTAAAAACACGGTGAATAATTGTAGAATATATTAAAATTATAATGTTTCTGTTATGGTTTATCTTTAGATAAAAGTTTCGAATAACAAGCAGAGCAATGCAACGGCGCGTGCGACCGATCCTCGAAACGGTGTAATTAACCGATGCTCAGTTACAAGCTGTTGCTATTGCGCTGTCGTAGCGAGAAACGAGCGTTTCCTTTCACGTGTGCATTGGTTATCCATTTCTTCCTGCCCCATTCTTCCTTTAATTACGCACACAATGCGCATTATAAATTGTACACGCCTATTAACGTCGACTGTTTGCTTCGCCTTGATCGCCCTTTAAGAACAAAAAAAGAAAAGAATTTCATGGGCCTAGGTTAAGTTAAGTTAGGTTAAACAACCGATTATGTTATCAGTTCGAACGATTTAATTTTATGGCGTTGCTTGTAATTGATTCAATGAAACAGATTAGATGGCGGATTAGATTAACCGAGAAAGTTTCCCATATTAATCGCCAAGCCAATATCAATCAGTGATCTAATAATAGTGTGTCCATTTAGAATGCGAGTGTGACTAGCAGTCCGGAAAATTGCCGTTCCATTCGTTACGCCGCCGGTTATTGCGACCATCATCGTCTCAGCACTTTTTCTCCACGCGTGTCACTGTTATTTTTAGACTGAAGAAAAAAATAACGAGTACGTAATTTGTCAAGAACTGTGATTGTTACATTGAGTTTCATAATAGATTTACTTTAGGTGATTTTTATTTTTAACGTGTGATCAAATACAGACTACTAGCAGATTTTAGATTATTAACATTTAAAATTCTATTGAATTAAACGTTTTCAAAATTTATGTAATCATTTTTTAAGGAATAATAGCCTTTTCCTCCTATCTTATCAACTAATATTATTTTTTTATTCCAATCATAAATTAAAAATACTCAATCACAAATTATCATTTGATTTTAAAACCTAATTAGTATTAGATTTTCTGAGCATGAATGAGAGTTTTTTGAAAGTGCAGAATACTGTGTATTGCATACAGGTAATAATTCCTCGTTTCCTCAGCTTTCCTCGGGTCGTTTATGGTCGTTGATCACGTCCGTTCAGGAAACCTGTAACCATCGTGTCCGTGTGCGCACAGTCGATGCCATAAAAGTGAATTCGTACTAATTGTCGGTCGCTCAACAGCTGCCGTCCACAATCACTCGACGACGCAACAGTCGAGTCTCGTTCCTCTGTCCTCCTTTTTCTCTGTCTGCTACGCTCGACGATCGCAGCTCGAAATGAAAAGAAACCATTACCAAGTCATTGGTATATACGCTTTCGTTGTTCGCGAAATTGATGGGAAGACCGTGATCTTCAGGAAAGTAAAATAGCTCTAATGATGATTGTAGCCTTGATAGATGTGTATCGTAAAATAAGGCAATTAATATCAGGCTTATTTAAGACCGTGTGATTTTTTTTATGAGCAACAAAGCTATTTAAATCTTTGCTTTTGTATAACATGAACTACACTTTACATATTCCTTAATTCAAAAGGCAATCACTATGGATTCAAAGAATGACTAAAATTTCTAAATTATGGAAATTCGAAGTACCAAATTACGCTCGATATTTGCAATTGTTTTATGCAGCAAATAATGATCCTAATGGCAAAGGTAAACAGATTTTTCCGATGCAGGTACTATTTACTGACAATTTGTCCTCGAATTTTCACTGATTACGGTACTTTCGAGTCACGGTTCGACAGCCGCCGCAAGGGTGAATCCAGCCAGCAAATTGCCGGCTAAATATACACATCTCGGCGGCGTAACGCGGCGCGCAGTTTGCATATAACTACTCGCCGTTTTCACGGCTCGTTCGTCACGGGTTTTCGTCCTGGTCAAAGGTGGCAGGCTCGTGAGAAAAAAAAAGGAAGCACAACCATGAATATTTGATACGATGTCGCGTGCCACACGCCAGGAAGGGTTCTTCTGTGTCGCACGATCGCTTCTCGATTCATCTAACTTTACCCCTTCTTGAGAATCCAAAATTATCTTCTGTGATAACGAGAAACCTGACAAAAATTTTTTTTTAATTCTTATAATTAAAGAATTATCTTCTACGATATGAATGATAGTCAAGAAAAATTCCTTTTTAATACAAATATTTTTAAATTATTTTATGATATATAATAATTGTATAGTGTAAAAATTTGAAAGTTCATGGTACATACGAGTATTTTATGGATGATTATGGTGTAAAATGTTCATAGGAGGTTCAGGAGCGAACGTTGGACGTTATGTGGAACATTTATGAGGCGGCTCGTGCGATTCGTCTCGCTGATTCGAACGGGAGCCCGCGCGAACCCTTTATCGTTGTTCGAAAGCAAGCGTGCGGAATCCCACGACCAAGCCTTTCGTGCCTTTCGTTATTTATTGGCGTCGTTATGGGCTAATAACACGTTTTGGAACAAACTAGCCGTGACACGCACCGGTGGGCGTTAGAACTGATGCTCTTCTCCCGGTCCACGCTTTCTCATCTTCTACTTTTCGGTTATTTTTCTGCCGCGTTCCCTGAAATTAGCGTCATTCACTCATTAGATTAAACAATTCACAATCTGTCTATTAATATAACTTTTTACTTTTATTTTGTATGGAAGAAAGAAGATTTTCTAAGTATTGTCGTTCTAAGAATTAGAGGAAATTTTTATAGACAGAAGAATAAAGTTTTGGGTCTTCCAATAATTGTTTCAGGTATATAACAGTGGGTTGTTCAGCGCTGAGACTTATCCTGCGAAACTTTGCGTCAGTAATAAAATCTAACGTAGAAGCACCTCTTCACACAATTGGAGTAGACGTGTCGAGGGAGGAACGGTGAGTAAAGCTACCTAGAATCAGCACCAATTATTAGGTCATGTAATATAAAATGCAAGATTCTTATTCATTCGCAAATTCATCTCTCATGTGATTAGCTGAGTGTTGTAAACTTCTAGGAGTCTATACATTCCTAATAGGCATCGATTAATTTTATTTCATATTACACAACCTATCCAAGATAATAATTAAAAGAACCATAAAATCAAACAATCTTCTTACATTCCCAGATACCACAAGTGTCTCTCCTGTTACGAGAAGCTCTCGTCGATCCGCAGCATCATTCTCAAGAAGCAAGTAACATCAGGCAAACTGGGTGCCTCCTTTCGCGAGCTCGTTGTTCTGATACGGAGCCTCGAGTGACCACGGCTGAGGCACTTGGTGAACCCGACCGCCAGACTCGTCGTTACCTGACAGAGAATCGAGAAAGCTCGAGGAAAAAGAAGAGAATGGACTGTATCGACCACGAAAGAGAATCATCGTGCGTTCGAGCTGCTCTATTCCGGGAAGCTTGGCGGATTGGTTCGTCGAGGACCGTTTCTTCCTCCTCCCCATGGCTCTTTTCAAATTCTGGTCGCTGATCGACGACACATCCGAGGGGAAAGAACAATTGGAGGACATCCGCTACACTGATGACAATGTTGATGATGACGCTGTGAAATAAAAGACAGATTCTTAGGAAATGATTCTTAAAAAGAGTGAATGTAAATTGCTTGAATGCTACCTATAGACTCGGTGAATGATGTTGAGACTGTATATCACGATGTTCGCCTAGCCTGTGTGCACAACAATTGATGCACCCTGTTTTTTGGAGGGAACCGGGTGGTGTTTGAACAGAGAACCTAATCTGAAAGCAAAATTTCGTCGATTGTGACTAATCTATCGGTGCATTGATTAGAATATTATGGATTTCTTGAATGATATTTGATGATTGTAAAGTGTAACATTATATAATATATTGTGCTATATTATATATATATAAAAGAATGAAGGGGGCTTATGAGATACGATGTGTGTGTTGAGAAAACAAAGATGGCGTTGCAATGACGAAAGTTTTCTTGAAGTATAACCTCTTACGATTATGAGGGAATGCAAATATAAACTTTTTGACGGCCTTCTTGCCACAGTCTCGTGTTAACTTAACGCAAGTTCGAGTAAACTTAAAACGGAACATACACACGTACACAGAGACAAACACACAGACGTGAGAACGACGATGATGAACAACAAGCGAGAGTTGTTTAAGGAGTATAAAATAATAGGTAGTAACACTTTTTTCTAGAGGTAATAACAGAAGAAGATGAGATAACAAATTGTATTTTTGCAAGAGCCATTTGCGTCCTTTCATTAATAAAAGAAAAAAACGAAAGAAATAAAGGTACTCTAATCATAGGTATGTTTTGAAACCCCTGATATATCGCACGAATATCGAACGTGACAAAGTTGAGAGAAGCGCTTAGTGGAAGACAAAATCGATTGTTCTCTTATCCGTTAGGTTTCGAGAGTTTCCATAATGGAGAACAGAATGAAATGCGATTTAAGAGTAATTATTTGAAAAAAAGACGAGAAATTTGAAAATTTCGAAAAGAAGATGAAGATATTAACTTTTTTGGAAGAAATGTTCGTTGAGCAAACGAGTTCCGGGATCGTTTAGAATTTTCCTTGTCGAGTGCGGGACGAATCGATTGTTTCACGCGCGCAACGTTTCTTTCAGCGTCCCCTCGCTCCATTCTCGTCTCTTTTTCATTCGTCCCAGTAGTGCCGGTTTAACTTTTTCCCATTTTCCGTTTTACTCTTCGTCCGTTCGCCAGCGAGTTATCCCGAGTTTCTGAACGCTGCATTACGAGAGATTTCATAATCAACAACAAACTATAATTGTTCAAAAAATTTTAACAAAAATTGTATTCAAAATTATATAAAATAAAAAAAGAAATTCCAATTGTGCAAAGTCTTGCGATAGCAAACATATGTCAGCTATCGTTTGGCTCTAAATTCTCGAAATCGAAGTTCGATCGATTTACCAGCACTTCGATTAATAATCGACCAATCGAGATCAGTTTTAAACATGGCGATCATATCGCGAACGTGAAATCGATCGTAGTACTGCCTGTAAGAGCTGTGTGTATAATAATATTTCGCGAGTCGTTATTGAAGATTAAGTGGAATGATGATGTTTTTCGGGGATTTTTTGAATTTCTTTTTTTGCATGTCGTAGAGAGATACTGTGAACCTTTCGACATTGTGTTCCAGTGACAATTTTTGGGATCAGAGAAGCGATCAACTGAGAATGTAAATGAAAGAAAAGGAGAAAGATTATGTAGAATTTTGAAAAAGCTTTTATTGAAAAATAAGAAACGAGCGTTTTGCGTTTAGTTTAAGTGTTCAATCCCCTTAGATGCATTTTGAAGAAAAAATCAACGAGCGGTTGCCTTTTTAATCGTTCGACCCTTTGTATTTTTCGACTGTTCATCAGTATTTTAAATCGACGAAATTTTGAGCAGCGTGACCGAAGAAACCCTAAACGATATTTCGATAGAGCAATAATCGCGAGTATCGATGTTCAGAGGTCTAATTTTTTTAACATAACGTAAATTGGGAGGAAGCCATTCGGGTGATGTGTATCATTTTATAAAAATCCGTACGGTACATTTCATCCTCCATATTGAATTTTATTAACATCCTGTTTTTATACCTTGTGATCAAGTAAAATTATACCTTTACTGCTGAAACCACGAATATTTTTTGTGATCCTGTTGCATATCAATCTTTATATAACTTTCGATTTTATGAAAGCTCGAAGCTTTTTAATTCTTTTACAAAAAGAAAAAAAATGTAACTTAAGATAAATATGTCAATTTTAAATTATTTACCCTTCTTCGATCCTGCAGAATTCTCGATGGAACAGAGATGACAAAGGAACGAACCGGAGCGCTCAAAACTCGATCGTTTAACGCCGTGTTTTAATTAAGCGACAAAATAAGAGAATAAAATAAGAAGACAAAAAGCGCAGAAAAAAAGATGAAAAAAAGCAGAGCACGAGGAGACTATACTCGTCGTCGGTTCCGTCCAACGTATTTTTGTAAGGGAGAGAAAGTGCGTGAGCCACGAGAGCAAGAGTGAATGTGCGTATTATTCTTTTGGTCATCCACTTCCGGATTCGCCGTTAACACGTTAGTTGCGATCGAATTTCTTCCTACATGCTACTCCAATTAATCATATCACACGAATTTACTTGAAATTTATTTTTAAATATCCCTTTCAGATTTGCCATTAACACGTTGAGTGCCGCGCCAATTTCACGCAACATGTTAAAACATTGTCGGTCGATAGAAATCCTGAAGAAATCTTGATCATGAACTGGCAGGGAAATTAATGAAATTGAAGCGGTTAATCTAATATAATATAATAAGAAACACGAGCTGTTTCATTGAAGCGAGGAAGATAGTGTTTCGCTGCTAAAGTGTTAATTAGTTCAACAAAGTTGACGAAGCGCATCCTCATGCACGAGGAAACAAGTCGGGTTTCCCTTGTAGCCGACCACGGTGTACATATACATAAAACGCCTTCGTTGTTTAAGCCTTTGCACTCCTAACGAACAAATACTACGAGCTGCCTACGCTCAATTAATTGTAACTCGATACACACCGAATGATATCGTAGAGGAGCTTACGATTGTAACTATAGGGGATAATCGAACGTATAACTGCAAGTGATTCCGATCCTCCACGTGTACACGCTCTTAGCTTGTACAATTGTTACATCTTTTTTTTTTCTTGTCTTTTTTGTTCTGTCATTTTTTATCGTGCCAGTTTAATCATTTATAGAGACACCTCCTTAATTTGTCATTTCTTCCATAAATTAGAACATTATCGCTACTATAATGTATCGCGTATGCCGTTACACGTGTAAAGAATAATCAAAGCGGAAGAATAATTCTTCTTCCGTTCAGCGTTTTTTGTTCGTTATTTTTTCTTTTTTTGTTTTCGTAAGAATGAAACGAAACTTTTTTATCGTCTAATAATTACGATAATAATTACGATGATACTTGTAATTGAATTAACGATACACGTAATTAAGTATAACGCGGCGAAGCCGGGAAGATGAAACACGTATGATTAATAATCGATCGCTATTAATCTCGTCTGCTAGAACGTTCTAGTTTTGTACGTTAATGTAAATAACGATATTTTCTATATATATGTATTAATCGTACTATTTATCGTACTATTTGCGATCGCACCAGTGCAAAGGATTAAAGGCCTGCAGAGAACATGCAGGGATGATGTATAGTGATTTTTATTTCGCTTTTTTGTTTTTTATGGAAGTTGCCTTGAAGGAATTCATGGGAGACGGTACTAAGTGTAAAAGACGTTTCAATATTCGATTGTTATACATGTATTCGAGTTCTAATTAGACTGATATTTTTATTGATTAATCAATAATAGTAATAGTATTATGATAATTAATAGTTACTAATAATATATAGATGATTAGACTAATCGATTTCCAATAGGTCTAGATCGTTTATATCTGGACTAATGAATTTACTTTTATCAGTAGCCTAATTAATGTTGTAATATAGCGTTCCCTGAAAGCGATGAATTGAAATAATTTTAGACTAGTACCGTCGTTTCTTCTCCAATGGAAGTTTTTCATTTAAACGTGTGATCGATAATCCCTCTGTGAACTTTGCGTTCGATGATTGCAACATTATCTTTACGAAGAATTGAAGAGTCCTGCCATGTGAAATATGAAAGAAAAAAAAAAGGAAGAGAGAAAATTGATTCACTCGTTCAGAGAATTATTTTCATAAGGCGCTAATAATCTAGAATACACACGGGGAGGAGTGTGATTTTACGCAATTCTTCGACGAAGACTCGACGATCGGTTTTTTTGTAATTCATCGAGCTTGTCTTTCTGACTGCCTTAACATGTTCTACCGATTCTTCGTACCCATGCGTCGTTTTCCCGTTCAAACGCGTTAAAAATTAATCGACCCTAGCGTTTAAGGATCAACCACGGAACAAACTAAGCGTCCGCGTATGGGCAACTAAGAACAAATAATAATTCTATTGAAAATTTAGAAAAATCTCCACTTCATTTCTTCCTTCCTATATAAAAAGATATTATCGATAATTAAACAAGTGAAAGATTCATTTTACCCATTAACATATGAATCAATAGAGTTATCTGAAACGCTCAAGAGACATTTACATGAATAAAAAACATAAGTAAAAAATCGAATACATCTTGTTTTATCCCTATTGTAAGACTCGTCGATTAAATCGTGCATGAAACTCATCCATCAACTTCCGTTTCATTTTTTTTCGCTGGATAAAAGAGATACGAGACTCGAGACGAGGAAAAAAAACAGGAGAGAGGACTAACGTCACTGGTCACGATTCCTGCGTAGAGAAATCGGCGATCGAGATACCGTGAAACGAAGCGCAAATATTCGTAATCCGTGAAATATCACGGCCGTTCTAAAACGAGCCACGCGTGTCGGCTGTTTGCTTCTAGATTATGTATTCATGGGATTATGTTAGAGAGGGGTGGCCGCGCCGACAACCCCTTCCCCGAAAGCTATCATCAATAGGAAGTTCCAATGTT